ACCTGGGACAGAAAAATGGCAGGGTAAAATTACAGGCTGGGGACTGCTTGACTTTTTTGCAGAAAAGGGTTTAGGTTCCTCATGGACAAAAAGCTGAACATGGCTCAGCAGCACCCAATCACAGTGGTGAAGGTTAATTTCATCCCAGAGCCACATTATTAAAACTGCAGGCAGCAGGTCCAGAGAAGTGATTATCATCCCCTGCTGAGCACTTATGAGACTATATTTAGAGTACTTTGTCCAGTTCAGGACTCCTCTGCAGAAGAGGCATTGGCATATTGGAGCAAGTCCAGCAGAGAATCTCTGTGATGATTGGAGACTGCAGCATGTGGATGAGGCTGACAGATGAATTTGCTGAGTCTCAAGAAAGCTGGAGAGGGAGAATTCTCTTTGGTGCCTTCAGCTTTGCAGGAGGAGGTTATAAAGATGCAGCCAGAGCTGCATCACCAGAGATGCACAGCAAAAGGACAAGAGGCAAGAGTTGCATTTCATCAAAATAAGTTCTGACTCGACACAAGGAAAAAATTCCTCACAGTGAGGGTAGCCAACCATTGGAAAACAGGCTGACCAGAGAAATTCTGTCATATCCTTCCTTGGTAAAAACTGGAGCTCAGCTGCCCTAGGCCCTCAGCAGCCTAATGCAACTTCAAAGCCACCGTTTTGTCAGCCTCCAGAGGTCTCTTCCAATCTCAGTTATTCTAGGATTCCACCATTCCCCCTTCCCTTGCTCTTCTAGTTTTGTTAAACAGTGCTCTCTGTTCCTCCCCTTTGGATACTTCTGTTCTTCACATGTGTAATATATTGTCCTCTTCTAATTCACAATGTATGGTTCTGGGAGGAAGCAGATCCCTCCATAATCACTTGTAACCAGCTATAAAAATGAGTGATGACAACAAATGTTAAAGAATTAAACAAATAGTTTAAATGCAAACAGTAAAAAATGCATTACAGACCATCTTCAGAAACACTTTCCCGTTCAGCATTAAAATACTGTTACTTATGCTTTGGTATTTAAGAGGACTGAGGGAAAACACACATTAATTTAAAGAAATAACTAAAAACACAGCACAACAGTTCAGAAATTGGATTAAGCTAGATGCAGCTGCAATCTTCAAACTTAGTTTAGACCAAATTTGAGTATCTGCAACTGAAACTTTCAATAATCATATAATATATATAATCATGCCATTGACCCTCCTTGCCCTGTCCCTTTTCTTTTTGGTCACTGAAGACTATTGAAAGTATCAGAGCTCCAAGTCAAGAACAACTCCCTTGTAACAACGACTCTGACACTGATACAGCGAGAGCAGATTGCCTGCAAGGAAACAAGAATAAACTGGCTATTTAGAGAGATTATGTAATGCAGCACAGAACTGTAAAATGGGATTTAAAGAGACATCACTCTGCATTTCAGCTCTGGAAGTAACTGTAAGTGTTGGCCAATACTGTAGAAATTTGAAGAGGCTCAGGAACAGAGGAAGATGTCTTGTCAACGAGTCTCCCCTCTGAGCTGGTATTTTACTCATAATTCTTCTTTTTCAGAAAAGCAGCAGTATTCAGCTATTTTGCCATATCCATTCAAACAAAGTTGAAGCTGAAACATCATGTCATCTCACAGATGTCCATGTTTTTATTACAAAAATGAGGTCTGTATGTACAGATGCAAAACATTTTGTGGGCCTGAGCCTGTTGAACTTGTGGAGCTTCATACACTCAATTAGCACAGTACTGCACTCTGAAAATCAAAGTGATTATGAACAAATACAACAGTATTAAATCTTCTCTGCATAAATATTTTAGCAAGTGTAAACAAGACTCCAGTTTCTGTAAGCAGCCATTCCCAAACAAACACACACAAACATCAGCTGGTTCAGAAAAGAAAGGGAGAAACTGAACAGCCATGCCCTGCTGCATTATAAGTGAGGAAAGGTACAGCAAAGACACGTGTGGTAAGGGAGACTATTTCTGTGTAATGGACATTCTTACACAAACCTGAAAACTACAAAATGGTCAGGGTTTGCCCATGGCTTTGTTTAGAGCATAAATATACATATTTATAAAAACGCCAATGCACACCATGATTTTGTAGAAGAGTCCGGAACTGATGAGCAGTTGCTGGGAGATTTTACTTTTGCATTTCTTCGCTTTAGAATGCATGGAAAAAAAGTTATTACCTTAAGCATTCTAATGCAAAAACTGTTCTTAATCTAATTCTAAACATCCTTTCATTAAAAGCCTCAAAAAACAGCAGCATCATACACTCAGCCAAGCCCAGCTGCTTTGCTGGTAATTAAGTAAGAGACAGTGAGTACAGATCAACTCCCTTCCACCTCCCCTGGAAAGACAGACTTTACAGTAAAGAATAATTTGGCCCAAAGCACATGGGGAAGGAGTGGGGGGAAGGAGGGATAGCAGGGGAGGTGGTTGTTGTTTAGAACCCAGCGAGTCCCTGCTCCACAGCCGGACTTTTCCCCGCAGGTTGCTGGCGAGCAGAGCAGGCGCAGAGCGAGAGCTGCCAGCGCTCTCAGACCACACACGGGCTCTCAGCTGCTCCCCAGCACTCTGGGGACTGCATCCACAGCCCATCCCTGCTTCCCAGGGCCTGGCTCTCCCCTTCAGCAGGAGCACTGATAGTACAGGAGAGAAGAAAGCAGCAGCAGCAGCCTTGACGTAAGAGCCACCAGTGGCCGCCCTCGCGGGCTGTCCTGCGCCAGCATCCCCGCGGGAGCGAGTTCAGCACTTCACCTGCAGCACAGCTAACTTTGGAAATGCCAACAGAGTGGCACCAGCAAATAAATAAGTAGCTCAGCTTTTCATATAACTGTGCATTTTTCATACAGCCAACTACCAGTGCACTTCAGTTCCATTCAATGAACAACTCCATACCTCTCCTTTAAAATACGTCCAGTAATTTAATTTACCTTGCTACACTTTCAAGTCTAACCATGATGGATATTTCACCCCAAAAAAAAAGCCATGATCATGGGCCCACAGTGACAGGGTGAGATTTTGTAAGCTCATTGCCATAGCTCAATTTGCAATTAAAAACTATGTAAAGACAGAAGTGTGATTAAAAGCAGCAGACAACCAGCTCATTATTCAGCGACAGAAAAGAAAAGCCTTTCAAACACCAATTGCTCTACCTGAAATATCAGCTGCTGTTGTCATGCCTGGGACTGAGCAAGAACAGCACTTAGCTCACTGAAAAGAACTTTCCCAGAGATAGATTGGCAGCATGACAAGTGCAGGTTGGCTACAGAAATCAAAGACCAAACACTTGCTCCTTATATAAAGGATAGACACAGGAAAAAAAATAGAAGAAAACCTGCAAAGAGCTTCAGAGAGGTGCAACTAAAAAGACAAATTATTTTCCTGTTTCAAGACTGTTTGGGAGATAAGTTCATGTAAAGCAAGTAAATGTTTTTCTCTACAATGCTGATATTCTTTAGCCAAGTCACAATCATTGTTGTTGATCAGGGAGGCCCCCCACACAAAGCTGTGGGGAAGGAAGATGCTCAGACATATTCCCCAGCAAACACTCATCCAAGAAAAAGCTGTGTTTAGATTCTAGAGAAACGCCTACGCTCTCTTTACTTGTGATTACCTTTTGGCATAACCAAAAGGGCTTTTGAAGGATTCAAACACTCCATGAAGCAACAAGACAGATTTCCTTCCATCAGCATTTTACTTTTTACAATTACAGACAACTGTGAAGTTCTTATGCACAAAAAGCCAATTTATTTTTAAAATGCCTGTTCAAAATTACAGTTTTGATTAAAGTGCCTTAATCCAAAACCAGACTTCATTAAGTTTAGTGGCTTTATCCCACTGCCTATATAGGTTACATGCTAGACAGGAAATTTAAATTCCAAAGATAGTAACTTCAGACCTGACACTGACACTAGCTCACCTAAAGTGCAAGCTTTACTTTGCCAAACAAACAGGGCTCAATACTCCTAAGTAAAAACAGCTGAATAAAACATTCTGTATATAAAACAACCTGTATATATATCAGCTGAATAATGCTGAGTAGAGTAATCTGACTATACTTCAATGACACAGATCAATCCTAGCCTCCCTATACCTATGAAGTTATAATATCAGATCAATCTTACTCTTCATATACCTACAGAGGCATAATACAGGCAAGACTTTTCCGTGTTGAGTTGCAAATGTAAGATTAATTTAGGAAAACACCTTTCTCTAAAATATCTCCCCCAAATGAGTATCTTACCAGTAAAATCCATTTACATCCATGGTTAATTACATGTCAACTTCTGAGACTTTGCTATGACAGTCCATCTGCTGTCATCTCCAAGAGTCATGAGACAGGACTATTAATTAACCAAAAAATGACAACTCCTGTCCCTTGATATGAGCAACAGCAAACTGGAAGACCATTCTTCTCCTGGAATAAAAGCTGGTTTTATTCATCCTCTTTAAAGAGTGTAGAATATGAAGATCTCAATTAAAATGTAAAGCATGTAATGAGAATATTTATTTTAATGTCATCTGTATGCTAAAACCTTTTTTCCATTTTTCCTCTCTCTATTCAATGATCCCATATTAAGCACATGATTACTTATATGCATTATCTCACACTTGCATTGCTTAAGACCAAAAATATTTGAAGAATTATACTTTTAAGTAAACATGAATAAAGTATTCCAAGAACCCTGAAAATGGACTAAATAAAAAGCCACAATAGGTTTAACAGATAATAAAAAGGTGCAATGGACGTGTCAAGCTTGAAAAAGCCCTTTTAAACCACAGTAATATTGTCAGGTGCCATTACCCTTTCTCAGTCAGCTGCATGAACTCATAAATCAGGTGCAGCAGCCAAATGAGAGCACAATGAAAAATCAGCACTAAGCAGACTTGTCCACTGAATAATGAGGGGCCTGCCAAGGTTTTGAGGTCACATTCAAAACTAAAAATTAATTGCATCAACCATAGTAATAAAAAGAATTCATATCAGCAAGACTAAAATTTGCTAGTACCATTCTGTAGAGTTTTTGCTCGTGACTCCTTTCCCAGGTTGGCGTGGAATCCTCCTCCTAAAGTCGGTGTTTTCCCTGCACCTATTAGGGGAAAAAAAAACAAACACCAGACATGTCAAAGAGAATAATTTAATTAAAATATTAAAATAAAACTTATTTTGCCAATATAGTCAGTATCTGTATCATCTACAACATGCTAAACTATATTAAGAAGGCCTTAAAGTACTTAAGACATCAAGTACCAATACTGTGCAAATTATTTTTCTTGAGATACCATAAGAATTACATGGCTCCATAAGCCCTCCCAATCTCAGTTCCAAAGAAACTACAAAAATCTCCCAATGTCTATTTTAAGCAGAACATGAAAATCAGTACTGTAAAACATTTCTCAAAATAACGGAGGAAAAAGTTGCTTAGTTAGTATTTTTGTCTGAAGAATATTCAATGAATAATTTACAGAATTTTAATAGGTAATTATTGGCTTTACAGAATATAAAACATGTTTAGCATTCAATAATGACTGTGTTGGCTACTACAGACCTAACACTTATTTTAAAGTAACTTCAGTTTGTCATTAGGTAAACACAGCAACACTCAGGCTACAAAAACTGCAAGTCTGGAACTGCTACTTTCACACCCAGAAAGGTTGGAGACTTAAAAGAAGTCTGAGCTGTAAATCAGCATAAACTAGAGGCTGGTTTGGCCATCCATGCCAATGCTAAGCAGCCTGAATGCAGAGATTGCTGGGAGTCAGTGGAGCTACTCATGCAAACCAATCTTGCAGAACAGGGAATTAAACTACCAAGGACAAAAATAGTCTCCCACTAGAGCAGGAAGGGTTTTTTTAAAACAATGAGGGTACCTCAAGCAGGATATCTGAATCTATCAGCTTAACAGCAAGTGAGACCAAAAAGCGAAATTGCACAGGATTGAAAACAAGCAATTTGTTAGTTCAATTTGGAGTTCTACTTAATTCAAGTCTTCAGGATAGGGAAAAAGCCATCTTGTTGTCTATGATGCCTACAGCTTTTCCTCAAGTTCTTGTGGCTGTTTCCTCCTCTCAGACTAGCTCTTCAGAACAAACTAGAAAGGCTTTGGGATAGACACAGAGAGGGCAATGAAGTTGCTCTTTAAAGCAGTTCAGGGCATTTCTGGTACACACCTGAATAAGATATTTCCAAGGCAGGATGAAAAACTGTAACCTAAACTGTTCACTCTTACTAGACATTTTAAGCTCTAGTCTCCTCTCAGTTGCACTTGATGTACATCAATACTGAGAAAAACAAACAAACAAAACAAAACCAAAAGCCAGAAAAGCTAATAAGCTAATATTCCTGCAGAATTACTATCAGCCCTCAAAGCTTATTTTTCCATATAACTTTTAAATTAGGTTTCCAGTGCTATCCACAACAGAAACCAACTTCATTAACAGATCCTTTAACAAACAATAATCAGCTCTTGTGGCAGTGCTGTCACACTGCAGCTGGTCTGCAGTTGGTCAAGGTAAATCTAGCCATAACACAAATCCAATTTGGCTAGCCTGGTTCTTTCCAGAAAAACAGATAAATGGTCCTCAGATAGGCTGGATTCAAACCTATACAGGGGACCCTCAGCCAACCCTGTTCAAGCCTAGGTGCAGAAACACCACTGGCCAGAGATCTGGGCAGAGAGAGATCCCAGCTATCTGAGCCTGGGAAATTCAAACTCCCTATAAAAAGAAGATTTGAACAATAAAACACATTGTCCAAGACACTCAGTGAGTTTGTGTCATCCCTCATGTAACAAGCTCTCACCTAAATGCCCCACAGATTAAGTGATCTTAATCTAATAATAATCCTAATAAAAAGTGAAAAACATTCAATAGTGATCTCCTCACTGGGTACAGAGGTAACTCTCCCAACTCTGTGTTTGACTACCAGAGGCAGCAACACCTTCTTGCCATTCTTACAGGTACAGCCTTGTATTTCCACAAACACTTGAAACACTAAAAAAAAGCTAAAGCAGCAAACCAGAGAGAGGTTACCACGCTACAAAAGAAGGCATAACATTTTTTGTGTACATTTAGTGAGAATGGTTTACCTGGCAGAAAATATATCAATTATGGAAACAGTTTTACATTCCTTTTCTTCAGTAGCAAATCTAAACAGAAATTCCACCTCCCATTTTCCTTTTTTTTAATTGTTTTAAGGTTTGCTTTTCTACAAGCTTCCTCACTAGTCTGATTTGCAGCAGGAGAGCCCACACAAGAGCATCAGTAGATGGGAGGAGGGCACCAACCACAAGGCAGGAGCAGGAGCAAGCAGCTGGAGGCAGAGGGCTCACCCAGGACCTGTGTCAAAGGCACTGTTGGCCCATCCTGAACACAAAAGCTCCACTTCCCAGTCCCCTCTATTCTTGAATATACCAAAATACTGAACTGCTTTGGACTATCATTGGCAAAACAACACTTTAATATGTTTTCCTGTTACTACTAAAAATCTTGCACAAAGCAATCTTACAGTGGTGATAAACAATACTAATAACTAAATAATTTTACTTACTCGGGAGTTAAAATCCAAAATAATATAAACAAAATGGAATTAAGTCAAGATTTCAATGATTTTGTTCTTTAAGACTCTTTTTCATTAGCTATTAAGCTATAACATCATACATAAAGTAATTTCTTTCCAAGCTATAGAGACTGCAGCAGATATCAGCAGAGCTCTCTGAAAGACAGATTCTGCTATCAGAATTGATGTACCCATTTTTCAGCAAGTTAACTGGAAAGGCTGAACAGCTCTACTTAGCATTTGTCTTTGAAAACTGACAGAGAACTAGTCTGTTGAGCACTTACACTCTCAGAACTGCAAACTAATGTTGCCATTGACTATGTAGTCTCACCATCAGCTTTAATCTTACAACCAAAATGCAAACCAAACTCATTATCATAACTGTTCAGCTGGGTAATAAAAAGATAAACTCTTAAAAAAAGAAAACTGAAATCATCAAATTCATTTAAAGACAAAAATCCCTACAAAGCTAGCAATTTAAAAAGTACAAAGGAAAGGAACAGCAATTGCTAGGCACAACCAAATTAACATCCCAGCTTAACTGCAATTTTTACATTTCTTGACCTTTTCCATTCTTCCCCCACAACTTCAAAAGTGAATTAAGCAGGCTTTTGGTTTTTCACATTCAGCTTTCAAGACATACAAAAATATATCTGAGAAGTATTTGGTGTCTTCAAGTACTGCCTGCCAAAACTTCAACATTAACACTACCATTTCCCTAAGGCAACTCAAATGCACTCCTTCAGGAGGTGGTGCCTCCCCAGGTCCATCGTCATCTACTTGCTCGTGCCACCTGCTGAGGAGGGCCAGCTGTGTCCTGGGGACATCACCAGAGCATCTGGGACAGCTGTGTCCAACATCACCAGCCAGGTGAGGGACAGGACTGTCCCACTCTGCTCTGCACTGGGACAGCCTCACCTCCAGTCCTGGGGGCAGTTTTGGGCACCACAATGTTAAAAAGCCATGAGAGTGTCCAAAGGAGGGCCATGAAGACAGTGAAGGGCCCCGAGGTGAAGCAGCAGCTGAGGGCACTTGGTCTGTTCAGCCTGGAGGAGACTGAGGGGAGAGCTCACTGCAGGTACAGCTTCCTCCTGTGGGAACAGGAGGGGCACACATTGAGCTGTCCCCCCTGGTGACCTGTCCAGGACCTGAGGGAATGGCATGAAGGTCAGGGGAGGTTTAGGTTGGCTTTTAGGTAAAGGGTTTTCACCCAGAGGATGGTGGGGAACGGGAACAGGCTCCCTAGGGAAGTGGTCACAGCACCAAGAGTGGCAGAATTTAAGGGGCATTTGGACAATGCTCTCAGACATTTGCTGTGATTCTTAGCGTGTCCTGTGCAGGATTTTCATGATCCTTGTGGGTCCCCTTCCAACACAGGGTATTCTATGACTCTATGATTGCTTTTAGAAACTCATCAGATTTGCAGATTCACATAACTGAAGCTTCCTTTTCAAGTTTGCTTCGGACATTTACATGAAATTTTGGACAACAGAAGGTGTGGAGAGATGTGTTAGGCAGCTCAGAAACACAGCTACTCCAGTTTTTGTGTGGTCCTCTCAGTGGGGTACACTGCCCTAACACAACAGACCTGAAGATGCAGGAGATCATGCCTGGAAACTTGATGGTACTCAGTCTAAGCTCACACAGATCCAGACCCAGACCATAACCCTGCATCATTCAAGTGTTAAACTACTTGTCAGAGCTGGGTTAACATCTGGACTCTACAATCTTAAAGGTCTTTTCCACCTAAACAATTACATGGTTCTACAGTGAATATCCCTCCATCAGCCAAAAGCAGCCATTCCCACTGCTGTTCACAGCACAAGCACCTCAGCAGCTTCTGTTTTGCTCCACCAACTCCCCAACTAAGTCACATCACTCTGCTTCTCCATAAAAATGCTCCTCAAGCTGTAAAAGGTGCAAGCAAAGCCTGCAGTCTGGGGTAATCTTGAACAGCAACAAAACCCCACAGGTAACAGGAACAGCACTTAGCAAATCACACAGTGGAGGCAAAGAGCAGCCACTTGGACATCTGCAGCTTAAAGGGCACTTTTCTGTCAGGTAGTGACATGATGAGTTTCAGATTCCAGATTCAGTCCCAGCATTACAGATTTTGCTTCCTCTACGTAAATGAGCAAGTGAAGACAGGGAATGAAGCTGCTTGTAACCTGAACTGAAGTGTGCCTGCTATCTGATAGGACCAATCCTACCAAAATCCTTCCCTGTAAAATTAACCCCAAAAGCCACCAGTCCTTTCTTCAGGACCAGGTAGGGGCAAACCTTCTATTTCAAATATATGTATTTACAGATCCAGCATAAAATCTGGTAAAGTTTAGTAAAGAATGCAAACTGCATCACACCAATGGCTTCATAACTGGGGAAGACAAGGTAACCTAATAAAAAAAAAACTAATGAGCTTCCTACTGAAGTTAGACCATAGAAGTAAAAAGGAGGGTAAGTAAACCTCCCACTACAAATCTTACCTATAAAAGTAAAATTATGTGACTCAAGTTCTGAAGTTCGTAACTGAAA